TTTCTGAGACCTCTACTACTGCTACTACTCGTTTTTTGATATATTATTGTTTTATAGGACTAATTTGTTTTATATACCTTTTTGATTTCTTATACCTTCTCGCGTACCTAAAGCACACTTTCTTGCATCTATTAGAACAAAGCATGAAATAATGTCATGGACAGCAGACAGTGTAGCCCGATGCCATGAGCATGATGAGCAGCCAACCTATGAAGAGCAAGCACTAGAGGACCAGCTTACTCAGGAGCAGTTCGATAACGAGTTAGAAAATGATCTAGAAGTTATGCTTACTCAGGAGCAGTATGACGAGGAGGAAGGGGGAGCAGAGGGAAGAGCAGGAGAGGTTGCTGATGGCAAAGAAGAAGAGGATGATGATGATGAAGACGATGACGATGAGGACTCAGAAGAGGGATATATAAGTCCTGAGGATCCTTTTCCATGTGAAGCTAGAAGGAGGCCAACGGAGGAAGATTTGGACAAGGATTTTGACCCGAATGAGGAGGTAGGGATACAACCTTAGCTTGTAAATTTTGCTAAAGCTTTGGCTATGTTACCTCTGCTAACACTTTGACCTGTTGTATATACAGGTCCCTCCTAAAACTTAGAAAAGACGACATCGACGTCTGCGACATCTCGTCGGACAAGACGAAGTAGAGGAAAGGAGAGCAGAGGCAACATCCACAGAGACGGACATTGAGGCCTCTACTCCACAACCTCAAGACACAACCACGAACATGACTACCAAGCCAAAGAGAAAACAAGGGGATAGAAAAGCAAACCAATATCCAAATAAGGCATGCTATGTGATAACGGAGGTCGGGCTAGCAGGGGAGATCCTTGAGCCAAAGGAATCCAGAGAATGATTCTGTAATGCGATCGGGGCCCTAGTAAGAGATAAATTGAACCCAGCAATCCCTAACTGGAAAGAAGTACCAGAGAAGAAAAAGGATGAACTATGGGATAAGCAGTTGTAGCTCAATTTTAGATTTCCAGAGGGTAAGCAAGAACTGGTAAAAAATGCTTTTAAGATCATGGGAGAGTCATTCCGACGTTGGAGGTCGGAGCTCAATAAGAAGTATATCCAAAAGGGGTTAACTCCCTTCAACGAGTTCGGCAACATAACTCCTAGTCAATGGGAGGAGCTCATGGCTCAGAAGACTTCACCGGAGGCATTAGAGCTCAGTGCCCGTAATACTGAGCTGACAAAGAGGAATAAACACCACCATCATCTAGGCCCTGGTGGCTACTATGCCAAGGAAGAATAGTTTAGGAAGATGGACGGAGAGGCCATAGCTTCTGAGAATATCGATGTAAAGAATTTGAAGGTACGCTCAAGGAATTAGATATATGCGAGGAGTATAGAATCATCCAACAGTAATCTTAAGTTTGATAAGCCGGAGACCCAAGAGACAGTATCAAGAATACTGAGATATGCTGAAGACAAGAAGAAGGGCTCATTCAATCCTTCCAGAGAGAGGGATGAGCTTAGCCTTGACTTGGGAAACAACGAGCACACAGGCCACACCAGGGGGCTAGGGAAAAGGATTACCTGGAAGCACGAATTCGAAGAAGACAGGCACATGTACAAGAAACATGGTAGAGACCAGGATTCTAATCTTGAGCTCCAAGTGAAGGCTCTAGTTGTGAAGGCGCTGGAGGAGCAAGGACTGTCTACGGAGCCACAGGCATTAATGGCACCACCGGGTGAACTGGCATTAGTTGGCAGCCCTCCAGAAGTTCCTAGCAGCCAAGGTTCCACTACAGCCACAACCCCCATCGATCGCATACGGGAACCAACTAGTTGCACCTTGGTGTTTCTTAGTGGCCTATAGAACAATGTGATGGAGGTGGCAATGGGTGTGGCACATCCTCCCGGTGGCTTACACCACAATAATAAGATACCACCGGACTACACTAGTGTCGAGGTGCATACCGTGAAGCCCGAGTTCATGCAGCGGAGGATAGACTACGCAACTCCTGAGGGGCTAGTGTTACTCGGAGATGTAATGGGGCAGTTCATCCTCTGGCACAAACGGGACATTATATTGACTGCTTCTTCGCCGCCGCCTCCTCTCTCAAATTTGGAGCGAGCTATTGAGGACGGGGAGATATTTTCACCGTCTCATGACCACCACATTCCTGAGATGCCACATTCTTCCCCGCCTCCTAGCGAGCATGTGCCTGATAAGCCACAACCTTCTCCAGCTCGTACTGAGCAAGTGCATGATGAGATGCCTCAGTGTTCTCAACAAGCGCAGCCGATACATGAACAACGAGTGCCTCCTGAAAAAAGTGATGCACAAGAAGATGAGGACGTGCCTGAATGGGAACTTCGAAAGAAGCATCCAATCACTATAAGGCCAATTTATGTTCCGATGAAAGACGTCTCGTCGGTGCACAAGTGGTATGCCCATGACCAGTTCAAGCCTGAGAACCAAGTTAAAAAAGTCCCAACACGGGCTTCTGAGGAGGCCGTCACTAGCAAAGTCCACCAAACAGCAAAGAAGTATCCAAATGTTGTTGCCATCAAATGGTCAAAGGATTGCCTGATAACATATGAAAGAGGCAAGCCCTTCCTACCAAACCGGGACATCCAGTGCCTACCACTTGGAATGAGATGGTTCCATGATTGGTACTTGCATGTTCTCCAAACAAGCATAGACCTCGTACAAGCATGCTTCCCCATCGGCACATTTGGAAGCCTAGCCGGGAAAATTATCTTTGACTTCAATGACATGCAGACATGCTTTCACCTCGGAGCAATGAAAATAAATCTAATTCGCACGTGGTGCCAGTAAGTCATTGTCCTCCCGATATGATATAAATGCAATCTTTGGATTTTGCTGTAACTAACCCACGTCGTGATTTGTAAAATACAAGTGCACATTGTAAAACAAATGCCAAGTGTGAAAGTTGGGTATATAGACCCTCAAGCTATAGCACAAACAAATTTTAATTACCCTAGATAGTGGAAACTGAATGTCAAAGAGCTAGTTGCTAGAAAGACCCTTCGGGAGAAAGATGACATCCGTGCAAAGAAACTAAGGCAAGAGTCCCTTAAGGTTTCGGCATACATTGCCCTGGCTTTTAAAAATATCCAACAACACTCTACTATATGGCTACCATACAACTTCGAGTAAGTTCAAGTCTATACTTAAAGCTTTGTTCGATATATTTTATTTGATGCAAAAGAGCTTATCTAGTTCTATGATTAAATTCATACAGCAACCACTGGATTTGTATAGGCGTCGATGTCGGGAGGAGCATGTCATGGGTCTTTGATTCAATGGATAGGGATCTGGTGATATACAAAGACTTCATATCGATTCTCAAGACGTATACATATCGACAATCCTCATTAGCTTACATGTTTGTATACATACTTGTAACGTTCACTTTTGGATACTAACAAGTTGTATTTGCTAAAATAATTCGAACAGAGCATTCAGGTTCTATGTCAATGAACATCACGGAAGGCATGATCCAGTAAGGAAGGAAATGTTGGCTATAAAAATACTATGTGCGGTAAGTGTAACTTATTTTAGTACTCCATTACATAGCTGTCAAAAGCATTACTTAATATTTCCATATGCAAAACACATAGTGCCCCAAACAGAAGCCTGGAAGTGTACATTGTAGATACTATGTATGTTCTATGATGGGTAACACCGGTGCCTACAGGAGACACCCCTTAAGGGTAAGTTTGAACCTCTTCACCCGTAGTATAAAAACTTCGCACATGATATGAAATACTAAACCGAAACTTGTTCTCTTTTAGTGGAAAGAAGAGAAAGAAATGAAAAGAGACCCATACAAGGATGACCAACTCTTAGAGCTCGTTGGCGACCTTTGCAACTTTATATTGGACCAGATTGTACACGTCAAAGGCACCTACCATGACCAAGATTCTAACTTAGGTAGAAATCCTCAGTACCAACACATTCGTGAGACTGAAAGGCTATCTTTAGGGCGTTGATAACAATATGTATGGAATTTGACATTGGTCTTACCTTGTGGGACGGTTTGGACTTGTGTAACGAATTAGACTTGTGAATTATGTCTATTTAATGATGGATTGTATATATTCTTGTGAATTGGACTTGTAATGGTAGTTTATATAATGCTCTTGTGCTTGTGGTCAGATTTGAATTATATATGCATATATATATATATATATATATATATGTGTATGTTCTGGTCGAATTTGAATTGTAAATTTGAATTTTTTTTTGGAAAAATGTACTGTAGGGGCGGTTATAGAATGAACCGCCCCTACAAACAGGTATTATAGGGGCGGCTGGTACTACAGCATACCAGCCGCCCCTACAAATCGATTTGTAGGGACGACTGGTAACACCAGCCGCCTCGACAAATCGATTTGTAAGAGCGGTCTGGGAACCGCCCTTATAGATGCATGATTTATAGAGACATTATGGTAGGAGCGGCTGACCGAGTCGCCCCTACAAAGCCTCACTAGCCGCCTCTATCTAGGAGCAAACACCACAAGCAGTTTACATAAAGGCCAAACTTGAAGCATGCACTTCAGTGATCATTGCTGAGGCAGCTAGCCTCGCGCTTGCATCGGCCATCATTGACAAACTCAACCTCTCAGGCATCAACTACCTCTCCGACTGTGATCAACCTGTTCAATTCCTCAACGCTGATGACCTCTCCAATCCTCCTGATTGGAGAATAAAGCACTTCACCCAAGCCTTCTCCAACCATTCAAGAGGCAGATCGTCCAAGCTCTACAAGATCCAAAGGTGACTCAACACCACAGCGGACTCCCTTGCAAGACAAGCTGCAGTGCCTTCTCATGACCAGCAGCAGAACTTAGAATTCTCATGCACATTTGAGCATCATGTTTTATAGTGCAACTTGTTTTCAGCCCTACAATACAAGATCAAGATGTAACTATCATTGCAGCGCGTTGCTGCTAATTATAAAGTTGTTTGTTTTAAAAAAAACCAGGGGCAGAACCAGAACCGCAGAAGCAATCCATGGCCGAAGCTCTGATCAAGCCGCTGAAGCTGGTCGGTTTGATGCTCCTCGCATTCAGCTCCGCCATGGCCGTGTCCTCGTGCCACCGGGGCTTTGGCGCCGTGTCCTTGCTGGCCTTCTCCTTCCTGCTAGACCTTGGCATGCTCTTCCACTGCCTACGCCTGTACGCGAGGACGCCGCTGGCGTCTCCTGGCCGGCCGGAGATCCTCAAGATAGCGGTGTGGTTGCTCGTCACGATGCTCGTTGTTACCTTTTTCCAGTTCCTGGAGATTTGGTTCATGACCATGCATAGGGAAAACTGAGAATCCGATTACGGACATCTAGAACCACGCTGCGTCGCCTCAGAAAATCCGAATCCACCATCGGTTTGTGAAGATTTTTTTTACCACACGGGAGAGTCTCTCAGGTACTCTTAAGAACAAAGGTTTGGCGCCGCGCGGGAGCCCGCGCTGCCGCGCTGGAGCCCGCGCTTTAACCACGGGCGGGCAGCTGACCAACCGGCTCCTGAAGATTCCGGTACGCCTGTGTGCCTTATATCGCTTGTTAAGTTATGGCTCAGTAATCCCCGTACTATTTTATTTGATTTATTAAATGATTACGTTGAGATGACACACGCGATGGTCAAAGTATTGTCCATATGCATGTAATACTGCTGGAAACACGTACTTTACCGAGGGCCAAATCTTGGGCACTCGGCAAAGACACTCTTTGCCGAGGGTCAGCCACAGGAGCTCTCGGCAAAGAGGCCTTTGCCGAGGGTACGGTTCTCGTCAAAGGCCCTCGGCAAAGATGTCCTCGGCAAATTAGACCCGTTGGGTCACGGTGGCCATTTCCGATCAAGCTTTGCCGAGGACCACCCGTTAGGCCCTCGGCAAAGGTTTTTTTTTCTGTGAAACCAGTTTTTCGGTAAATTTTTTTAAGACTTTGCCGAGGGCTCTAGACCAGGCCCTCGGCAAAGATTTTTTTTAAACCAGTTTTTTGGCCAAATTTTTTTTTATAAATCGTCTTTGCCGAGGGCCTGAGGCTAGGCCCTCGGCAAAGAAGCCCTTTGCCGAGGGACAGGATAGGCCATCGGCAAAGATTTTTTATTTTTTTAAAAAAAAATTCTTTGCCGAGGGCCACGGGCCAAGCCCTCGGCAATTTTTTTTTTGGTTTTTTTAGCCCAGTTTTTTTGTGGTGCTACAATACATTGTTTTGAACTCAATTTTAAAATTTAAGCCAATTTTGAATTTTTTTGTATATTTCCTTAATTTATTTCGATTCTTTGATTTTTTTCGAATATGTCAAATTTGAACTGCAGGTGCATGGAATATTGCAATGTAGTGTTTCAAAAAATGTTATTCATGTTAATTGGTGCATGTTGAGTCCCTATCCACGAACTCGCATCAAATTTCGCGCATTTTGTTCGCGTAACATGACGACCGACTTGCCGAAAAAGTGTTTTAAAATTATATAAAATTCATACGAAGTTCGAAAATCACGAAACTTGGCGAGATGTCATGTTATCGCATGTGTAGGATGTGGTAAAAAATTGAGATGGTTTTGAGCGAGTTGCAATGTCGGATGCCTGAAACCCAGACATCTCCACATGACATCTCCACATGGCAAAGGGCCCAAACCTAAATCGGGCCGCAGCCCAAATTCCCAATCAGAATCTTGTCAAAAAAAAATCCCGATCGACCATGTCCCTCCCCACGTGCCCGCTCGAGGCTGGCCCACAGCCCACCCACCACCCACACTTGCACCACACATGCACATGCCACACATTGTGCCCCACAACCCACCCAGCCTTCCAGCCCCCTCCGCCACCACCAGCCACCGCCCGCCCGCCCGGCCGCAGCCAGCAGCAGCACCCGCGCCCACAGCACATGCACCACCGCGCCTGCCCACCACCTACCACAAGACCTTCCCGCCACACACCACACACCACCGTGCACCACCCCCCCTTCGGCCGCCAGCCAGCCCCGCCCGCCCCACGCCCGATGGCGGCCAAGGTCGCACCCTGCCTCCGTTCCCCGTCTCCGTCGAGCAAGGGGAGGTCGGCCGCCCCGGCCGGCCCTTCGGCAGCTCCCCCTCGCCGACATTCCCGCCCCGACCCTAGCCCCTAGGCCACCCCTGTCGTCGGCTGCTGTTGGAGGGGAGGAGGAAGAGGGTGAAGTTGGAGGAAGAAGAGAAGGAGAAGAGGAGAAGGAGGAAGGGGAAGAAAAGGAGAAGAAGAGGAGAAGGAGGAAGGGGAAGAGAAGGAGAAGAAGAGGAAAAGGAGAGAAGAAAAGGAAGAGGGGGAGAGGAGTACTCCAACGCCGCTCGACCTCGCCGGAGAAGAAAGTGACCCCCGCACCGCGACGCCCGACTCCACCGCAACCCTAGGTAAAACTCTCATTGTCGGCCTTCGTGCCGTATGTGGTTGTGTGGGCCTTCGTGCCGTAAGTTGATATGAGGGCCTTCGTGCCGTTGTGGTTGTTGGCCTTCGTGTCATTGTGAATGTCGGCCATCGTGTCGTTTTTTTGTAGGTTTTGGAAACCTCCCCGTGCAGGGGAGGTGCTGCCGAAATTTTGAACAAACAATAACCTATTGTCTTTTTATGCAGGAGAAGAGTACGTCGGAGGGGACCCGGAGGACCCTGATCGTCTTCGTCGACGTCGCGGTTCTGCCTGCACTGTGTCGCCTCGCCACTGCGTCGATTCGCCACTGCCCCGCTAGCCTTACTTCACCGACACCCTAGGTATAAATAACCTCTTTTTGCGCATGTCTGTCGTAGCCCGTGTGTAACCTAGTTAGGCGTCTCCCGTCCGAAAGAGATACGGTCGTAGGTATGCGGATCTTTGCGTATCTGCGACCGTATCTATTTCGGATTGTCCACGTTTTTTGGACAGCCCGTGGATGCGTAGATGGGTTAGTTTCCATGGTCCGCTCTGGTCCGAGAAGGAGTTTCGGCAACACCTCCCTGTTGTTCTCCGGATACACACTCTCCCTTGCAGGACGTGTATCGGGAGAACAACGGGGAGGTGCTGCCGAAATTCTGTCTCGGAGAGGAGCGGAGCATGGAAACTGACCTCATCTACGCATCCGCGGGTGGGATTAGGACCTATCCTCACCTATTAGACAGTAGGAACACCGCGTAGATGCAATTGATGGTCACAATACTCTATGCTATAAATGTTAAAGGATGGAGGACCATCAGTGGATGTACATGGGCTGGAGAAGCGGGAGTGACTACGACTATGAATGGGTGAAGGGGACAGATGGTTTCTTGAAACATGCATTTGGCCCAGGAGCAGGAGGACATTCTCTAGTTTGGTGTCCCTACAGCAAATGTGACAACAGGAGAAAAGTAGACGAGAAGACCATGGGTAGACATCTTGTGTTCAATGGTTATACGCCTGGCTACCAGCAGTGGATCTACCAGGGTGAAGCAGATCGTATAAGAGCGGAGGTGGTGAGACCACGCCTCGAGGCTTTTGATGATGATGCCGGGGTAGCAGACATGCTAGATGACGCCCACCAAGCTCACTTCGCTGAACGACGTGAGAAGGAGGAGATGGAGGAATCCGCAAAGGACTTCTACAAAATGTTGGACTCAGCGCAGAAACCCCTTCACGAGCGTACAATGATTTCTCAGCTGGATGCGATTGGACGCGTAATGGGGTTGAAGGCCGAGTTAAACCTGAGTTGAGAAGGCTTAGATAAGATGTTGGCCGTGTTTGGCACCATGCTACCGGAGAAGCACACTTTGCCGACGAACTTGTACGAGGCAGAGAAACTCCTTCGTATGCTTAAGATGCCGTATGACAAGATACATGTTTGTCTGAAGGGGTGCGTCCTATTTAGGAAAGAACACAAGGATGCAAATTACTGTCCGAAGTGTAAATTCTCCAGGTACCTGGAGGTAGACTCTGGTGATGGTCAGAAGAAGCAGCTTCCGATCCCCACGAGAGTGCTACGGCACCTTCCTTTCCTACCGAGGATCCAACAGCTATTCATGACTGAGGAATCCACGAAACAGATGACATGGCACAAAGATGACAAATGGTACAATCCTAGGAAGATGGTACATCCGTCTGATGCTGAAGCATGGATGTATTTCAATGACAAACATCATGACAAAGCAGCTGAGGCCCATAATGTACGTGTCGCGCTGGCAACAGATGGGTTCAATCCTTATGGAATGATGGCTGCCCCATACACATGCTGGCCTATTTTTGTTATCCCCCTCAATCTCCCTCCCGGCATCTCCTTTCAACGGCATAACGTATTCTTGTCGTTGATAATTCCTGGACACCCGGGGAGTAATATGGGTGTGTTCATAGAGCATGTGATTGATGAATTGATCCACGCTTGGGAGAAGGGGGTTTGGACATACGATCGACCTACAAAGACAAGCTTCAAAATGCACGTTTGGTACCACTACTCCCTGCATGACTTCCTGGCGTATGGGTTATTCGCCGCCTGGTGTGTTCACGGGAAGTTCCCATGCCCAGTATGCAAGGAAGTCGTGAGGTTCATTTGGTTGAAGAAGGGTGGCAAGTATTCATCGTTCGACCAGCATCGTCAGTTCCTCCCTCTAGACCATGAATTTAGAGAAGACATCAAGAGCTTTACGAAAGTTGTCAAAGTGATAGACCCTAAATCGCACTTGAGGATTGGTGCCGAGGTTCGTGTTTAGATAGATGCTCTCGTGCCCAATGAAGAAGGTGGTTTTGTGGGATATGGTGAGGAACATATGTGGACTCATAAATCTGGCTTGACGAGGCTCCCCTATTTCGATGACCTTCTTCTGCCACATAACATTGATGTAATGCACACTGAAAAGAATATCGCTGAGGCACTTTGGGAAACTCTCATGGACACTAACAAGTCTAAGGACAACGTTAAGGCTAGAGTGGACCTAGCGACGTTGTGCGATAGACCGAATCAAGCGATGCAGCCTCCTAGTGGCCGAAACAAGAACTAGAAAAGGCCTAAGGTCAATTTCGTCTTGCAAATCGATCAAAGGAGGGAGGTACTAAAATGGATCAAGATGTTAATGTTTCCAGATGGATATGCAGCGAATCTTAGCAGGGGAGTGAACTTAGGCACTCTGCGAGTCAACGGGATGAAGAGTCATGACTACCACATATGGATTGAGCGGCTTCTTCCGGCGATGGTCCGAGGCTATGTCCCTGAGCATGTCTGGCAAGTGCTGGTAGAGTTGAGCTTTTTCTTCCGCCAGCTTTGTGCCAAGGAGATATCTCGGACCGTCGCTCAGGACTTGGAAAAAGCGGCACCTGTGTTGCTCTGTAAGCTGGAGAAGATCTTTCCACCC